CAAATTTCTACTTTTGCCAATTTAGCATTAAAGTAGATCCTTATAAGTAGGAGCTCAAGTAAATTTTTAGAATTAAAGATTCAAGGGAGGAGTAAAAAAAATACAATGTTATCAAAGTAGGTTATTGCTGGTCTATGTAGGTATATAGATCAGCTAAGTAGGTGTAAATTATCCTTAAAAGTGTCAAAATAGTATCAAAATTTCGACTCGGGCAAACGCCGGAAGAGCCACAATCGAATGCACAGCCGGATTTGATCTTATTTCCGTGAATATTCGACTACGCTAAAGAAAAAGAGATCCTGCAACTGCAGCAACAATTTTCTAGGTACGTAAAAATAACTGAGATATACAAATGAATAGCCAATACTGCGAAATCGCATACGTTTTGTATTTAATCAATTTGAATAACAGAATTTCGATCGGAACTGCTAGCGAATGTTGAGAAGAAAATCTTTCTGTGACGCCCATCTATTACAACGTTTAATTGTGGTACACAAACAGTTATATCTTCACAAAGATATTGTTCGAGCTATAGTTAGTACCGAAATTCATTTTTATTCAATGTGACCGATTAATATTCAGTCATGAAATCTAAACTTTCCAGAAGGTATTACTAGAATGTTGCTGCTACAAATTTTGTAGCTTACAAACGATTTTCTAACAGATACACAAAATGGCGATAAATTTGTGTTGCGACACCTAGAAATCTACCTGCGTTAGTAAGTTGTACAATTACAGTTACGACATTGTTATCAAACTCGCCATTTTAGTTTGAGTTGCGGTCTCGATAAAAGAGACGCAAGTTCGGAAAACAACTCCTACTCACGAGAAACAAACTGAAGAAAGGACGTAAAATCTCTACTGATTGTGATATTTTTTTGTTTATTTAAATTTGAAATTAAAATAAGTCCCGTGGCATCGCGAACTTGACTCGAGATTAGCTATAAGTATATTATTAACAACGTCTCAAAGAATCTTATCTGGGTTTCTAATGCAATTGCATTAAGATCGTACGGAGTCGCCTCGGCTCTAAATAACAGAGCGATACGTCGGTTCCGACACGAGGAGGTCGAAAGCGAGGATAAGCGAGAGTCGAACCAGAGACCTCGAAGAGCTGTGATACATAACGTAACAGTGCTTTAGCAAGCAGAAATAATGAGTCTATTACACGGACGTCTGTGTTGGTCGCTTTGTAACGACGACGTCCGTAAGACGTGCGGTACCAGCCAAGCCGGGAGCGACTCTGGCGTCGCGCGAACGTCAGTTTGGCGCTTGCCAAATTTTTCTAGTCTGACAAAAGTCCGCCTTTGACACTTGACGCGATACCTCGGCGCTGACGGATGCCAAAATATCGTGCGAGATATCAAACGCGAATTTCCCTCGGTCTCTCCTCCGCCATATTTGCACCCCGAAGAAGCAACAGCGCGCACGTAAAGAGACCACAATTGTTCTCTTAAATCGACTTAAAATATAATGCATCGGCGAAAAGAAATTCTCTCCCGAGGCGTGCGCGGGCGTTTTATTAAAAAAAAAAAAAAACTGGACGAGTATATAGGGAGCTGTTCCGTTATAACTCGACAAGTTTTTCGGGAAATTAGAGTTAATTAAAGCGGTTGTTAAAATTCCGCGTTCGGTGAGAAATTTTCAACGGCCAATTCAGCCAGTCGGTTCTAATATGGCAGTGGTTTCATTCTGCCTTCCACGTAGACGAGAACGATTGAAATCGGGATGAGAGATATACGAGCGCATTCATTAACGTCCGCGCACGCGTATAGGTATGTATGTGCGTGCGCGCGTTATATCGAGGTAGACACACGCGCGGTGCGGTGCGGTGCGGCGCGGCGCGGGCGAATCGTCTCTATTGTCCGCGGCGGAGCGTGTAGAGGACCCGACTTTCCCTCGTTCACCCACGGTCACTGCTGCAGTGACGTAAGGCCCCTCGCTAGGGTAATTGTTACCCGTGCGCTACGTACGAAGACTCGCTTTATAATGTTCTCCTCCGCTCTCCGCTCCGTTCCATTCTATTCCATCCCGCGTCCGCCGTTCCCTCTATTGCGCGTGCCGCGCCGAGCCCGACATGGACGCCGTTCGGGCGATCGCGAGCGGAATGTACGCGCGGATTACGGAACGACACGTCGCGCGCCGCGCCGGGATTATCTCCCATTGATAAAAACCCGCGTTATAGTACGCGAGCGAACCTCGCAGTTTCAGCCGCCGCGCGGTTGCGAGTCATCTCGCTGACTCGCGAGTTTGTTCCTTTCCATTTCGTAACGTTCCCTAACGATGAAATGAAAACGCAGGTTACTCTGTGCCACGCGCTTATGAAGTCAATTCCGCGTGTTCGTTTAAATTGTTAGTAAATTTTTTACTAGTAATTCACTAATAATCTATTTAATAAATCGGAAATAAATTTCTTTCTATTTCCTGCCGCATTCCGTCATCATCTGTGCGGCTTAAGGAAGCTCACAAAGTCGGGAAGATCAATTTAATCGAAGCACAATTTCTATAAAAAAAACGCACGGTTGGAATTTCGTAATATCGTGTACTAACATGCTATGCTGAAAAGACAATTTTGCTATCTATAGTTAATCATGATTTGCTAAAAACATTTTACTGGCATCCCGAGTCGAAATTTTGGACCTGCGTTGAACCTTTAATTCTATTATATAGTCGGACCTAAGACAGTGAAAGAGGTCGAACTGCAAGTACCAAATTTATTCCTACCTTAAAACTAATAGTGTCGGCAATTTCTGCTTTTGCCAATTTAGGTCCTTTGAAGTAGGAGCTGAAGTAAATTTTTAAAATTAAAGATTCAGGGGAGGAGCAAAAGAATACAATGTCATCAAAGTAGGTTATTGCTGATCTATGTATCAGATAATTCCTTTACCAGAATTCCTTTAGGATTTACCAGAATTCCTGTAATCCTACAGAAATTCTGGTAAATCCTAAAGGAATTCTGGTAAATCCTAAAGGAATTATCTGATTCGTCCATATTCAACCAGAAATTTTTTTCAGTGTAGGTGTATAGATCAGCTAAGTAGGTGTACCAAAATTTCTAAAGCACAGCAAACGGTTTGCCGTAGCATCCAACACAATAGAGTAGCGAGATATTTAGCTATCGCAACTAAATATTACTTGTCCATACTTTACAACTGAAATTTAGGTACTACGTGCAGTTTTTAGCAATGGCAGCTACATTTTCTTTTCCGTGTACAAGTGCAAGCGCAATCTACCAGCTATTGTAATAGGTTAAAATACGCTCGAGCACAATTCATAAAAGCTACACACGTTTCGTTAAACGCACGCTGAACGTTGCTATTTGGCTCTTTCGTCAGCGGCACGTTAATACGTTGTGCAAAACGCACTTGGGGAGAGTTGATTCGTCACGTAATGATGAATTCGATTTTACAATGGATAAGGCGCGTATGGCGAAAGTAACTCGGTCAAAGCCAGATAAATGATCAGGCGTTAATAGCCGTAGAAAAACTGGGTCGTGCGCGCTTGTGCAAAAATTCCCCACGTCACACGGCGGGCGCAACAGAGAAATTTCATACGGCCGCGCGTTGCGCCAGCGTTAGCGTTGATATTTTCACTCCGCGCGCAAACTCGCGCCCCCGCCCCCGCGAAGAAATTAAAACCCGGTTCGTGACCGGCGAATAATAATACGATTCTTAGTTCGAGTACACGCCAGGCGAAATCTCGCCGGCCGCATTGCGCAACGTTGCGTTGTACAATAACAAAAAAAACGTTGCGCGATATACAATATGGACGCACGCCGGCGCTCCATTCAACAAAACGAGATTCTGCGAAAGACGGATCAGCGCGCTCGGTAGACGCCGCCGCGCGATTCAGGGGATCGCAACAAAACTTCTGAATGAATAGAATAGCGGCGCGAGAGAGCCATTCCGCAGGCGGTTCCGCGGAAAAATGGGAGGGAAGGAAAAAAAATGAGTTTGAATATGCCGCGGGTAGCTTACGTAATCTCCGATGTTATCTCCGAACTATCATACATGATTGTGGGATAGTTCGTTTGTTATTCAGATATTATGTGGTAGGCACTCACACATGTGTACGCCGAGAGCCCAAGGGAGCCGTGCGAGCCGCGTGGCGAAGAATAACTTTTTCAGGTTCAACAATATTCTCGTGATTACCGCGATACGTGAAGAATATAATGGACGAAACAAAGTGTTACATAAAGTGCCTGAAGATGCGCCGACTAATGGGCGTCCTGATAAAAACGTCCGAGTTTCTCGTTCGGACGTTTCGCCGACCAGAGAGAGAGAGAGAGAAAAAAAACGACGTAACGAGCCGTATCGCAATCAGCCCCGCGGGAGAGGCCGGGGACGATTCGACGATTCGATTTCCAGGCGTACGTATACGCGCCTGGTGAAATCGCGACCTGTCGCCGACGCGGCACCGCCGCCGCACGACGACGAAGAAATGCTAAATGAGGAACGAACAGTGACGATAATGAGAGGTTTGTGTTTGCAACACGTGCAAACGCACCAACCTGAGAGATGTTATCAGCCGCCCTGACGTAACAATGAGAAACTCCTCCACGCTTTCGTTTGTACTTGCAATCGGGGAAATAAATAAAACCGTCCTGTCGCGCAATTTAGCGGTCCCTTGCATATGCGCGCGAATATAATTATCGGCGCCGGGAAGGGAAGAGTCGCCGCGGTGTTGCAGGAAGCGAGGGACTCGCCGGGATCACCCGTCGCTATCCGTCGACGATAGCGCATTTTACGCGCGAATCTCGTGCAGGGGAATTAATAATGTGATCTCGTACTCTTTTTTTTTTAGAAACGTCACCCTCGCCTCTTTGCGACGAAGGGATCCCGTATAAAAATATGGGATTATCGCACAGTGACTTGCTGTTCGATACACTGGCGCGAGACGCGAGGCGCGTGCGTGCCTAAATGGGACTCCCGCACCCGTGAGCCCGAGAACGTTTGTACGCGGCGGAGGAAGGCGGAGAGGAATAGTAAAAATGGACTTACCATCGTTATGATACTGTCTCGATGGCAGAGACACCGCGCCCGAAGAGGGTTGTATCGGGGGTTGTTGTTGCGTACCGCTCTGAGGAGGACCGGAGGAGTTGGAGGTGGCCGAATTGGCGGGCGTCGGCGGGTTTTTATGTTCTGGTGTTGCCACCTGATGGCCGCCACCCTGGTATCCCAAAAAATCGCCTAAATCTGGCACGCATACGCTTTCATACAAGTGCGCCGGCACGTTCTCCAGACAGGTCTTCGCTGCGTCGAAATCTGAATGTAAAACGGAGATGAGTCCTCAACCGAGCTGCACGTCTCTGCGTGTTTTGCCTTCGCGGGTTAAGGGGATGCTGGAGTGATTCTGCACCTTTTGGCACCTTTCGTGCTCCCAGAACTGTCGATTTGTGAAAGCATTTGTGTAGTGTACAAATTATGTGGCTTTTGTGGCTGAACCGACAGTTTCCCACTATTTAGATTCACAGCATGCTATCATTGAAATTAAGTGTAAAAGCTTAACAAGAAGTTTATTCTTAGGTTACCTGACCTATTACTTATTCGAGTGAATAGATTTTTGTTAGGCTTCTAAACTTAATTTCAATGATACCATGCTGTTCTCCGATTTGGTCCGAATAGTGGAACAAACTGGTGAATACACTGTCGGTTCGTACACAAAAGCCACATAATTTGTACATGACCCAAATGTTTTCACAATGAATTGACAGTTCTGGGAGCACAAAAGGTGCCAAAAGTGCAGAATCACTCCCAGCATCCTCTTAAGTAGCTAGATTCGCGTTTCGCCCCAGTTTCCACCTGTCACCGAGTCACCTGAGCCCACCCGAGGGATTGCAAACGTCAGCACCCGCGAAATCTTAACGACTGTAAAATCGTCCAAAAATTCACGAACTGCAGTTCGAACTGATTGACCACCCCCCGTATTCACCAGATCGAGCCCCTAGTGACTTTTTCGGTTTCCTAAACTCAAAGTTTGGCACGGAGGACAGAAATTTTCATCGAACGCGGAGGTCATAGCATCCGTAGATGCCTATTTTGCAGAGCAAGACGCCAACTGTTACTTGAACGGGTTAAAGCGGTTGGAGCTTCGCTGGATTAAGTGTATCGACTTAGACTAGGTCGAAAAATAAAAGTGAGTTTGACCGAAAAAAGAAAAATGGTTTCTATGTTAGGCTCGAAACTTCTCAGCCCACCCTCGTACGTCTCGATCGTTTACTTGACAGCGCCGCGAAATTCGATCAAATTGAAATTGATATTTCCTTCCAGCGTCTCCGCATTGGAGTCTCGATCGAGCCGTGGACTGAACATTATGGGCGATTAAAAAATCAAAGGAACTATGTTCTAGTGCGCATCGTTCACTGTCCACGCGGCATTTACGCCTCGTGCACACATGAATGGTCACACGTATCTCACGGACAATGAGCATGTTAATGTAATAATCAAGGCCCTTATCGTCACGTGATAACAGTTATCGCGGCAGCATGTGTGCCCCGGTAGTTTTTCAGCGCGCGTTGATTACGACTGGAATAAAACATTGCGTTGTTTGTCATTAAGTGATTCCCCCGTAAGCACGATTGTTTCGCGCATCGCGGATCGCAATCGTAATTAACGATCTGGAGTGGCACTATCATCATCGCGGCCGTATTGCGAAGGAGACGCTCGCCATTGCCGTGATTCATCGTCGGCGTTTCTGGGAACTCTCGTGGAACAATCGTAGACTCGAAATGTAAAACAACGTACGTGCCGTGAATATTTCCTCGTTTTTCCATGTTCCTACACTCTGCTACACTTTTTCGCTTTTAATATGCAAATAATCTTTACTACCGTCACTGCGCACTGTTCCCCCTTTTGGCTTTGACGTTTGTACACCGTCGACTATTAATTATTTACGCGAGCAATGGTGGAGAAATTGGGACGAACTTCCTGCACGCTGATTTCCCGAATGTTAAATAATTATCTCTTTTTTTGTTGGCGGAATCACGAATTTATTCGAATAGAAAACGAGCACGCCTGTGAGATGTAGCAAGATGTAGGTAGCCCAATAATGTAGTGTGTGAATTCGAAATAAAAAGTTTATATTGGACAAAATTACATACAACCTGAGTTTGTCTCGTAAATAGAGATCGCTTAAAAATTCATTCGTGTGGATTTGCGTTTACATGAAAAATTCAATATTTCTCTAAGCGCGATTTAAACGGGAATTAAAAATCCCCCTTTGTTGTTTATAGCAGGACAATATACGAAGCGCGCGAAGAAAAGCATTTTATTTAATCGAGCGATTATTTAACCAAGATTAAGCAATGGGGAAAATTTGTCGATTAACCCGAGCTTCCATCCGGCGTGCAAAAGAGATCGATCATTCGTCTCGACGATGGCGAAACGCATCGCATTAATGAATTTCACCGTGAATCCGATCGGTATCGCCGCGACAGGAAGATACAACTTTTTAGTTTCTACTTTTTTATACAACGCAAGAGCGTTTCCTAACATCCGTTCTCATTCGCGGAATCAAAGCGATTACCCACGTCGTGTCGCGACTGCGAGCGTCGGGTGCACGCTAGGCTTCAGTTAAATTACCGTCGCCTCGGTCAGAGGGATCACGCGGCGCGGCCGGCTACATCGTTCACAATCGTAGCACAATAATAAATTGCACGGCTGGAATGTGGAAAGTACGACGACGACGGTGACGCTTTTATTTGACTCTCTCCCCGCCGCAAAATCACGCAGCTATGTGTCTCTCCTCGGTTTCCAACACGCGCGAGTAATAAAAGAGCATAGTTTTATACACGTACGCACACACAAGCACACAAAAGGAGTCTGACCGCTCGCGGAAATCTCAGTTAGAATCAAAAGACTTTTATTTTCGAACATTTAGGCAACTTTCGATGATTTCCTATAAAATTCTATATCAACGCTTGTTAATAATTCAGATCTTATTAATTGACACAAAACCTGTTGTGTTAATGCCAATAATATAAATCTGTGTTTATCAGAAAACCGAGATTAACAGTTGGAAAGAGAGGAAGAACGAAGTAAGCTAATCTTTAAGTTAAGGGACGTTGGTGAAACCGGGCCTCAGAATTCTATCTCGCTCGCGCTTATTCACGCGCTCCCTTTACGGTCCGGAAGAAAGAGAGAGAGAGAGAGAGCGCGCGCGAGAGGAGAGATTACGTATTCGAGACGATTCTTGAGTTTTGTGGTGACTTACCGTTAGTAGTCGTCCCTAGATCGCGCTAGTCGATTAAGCCCGAGGTTTCAGTGCCAATGATGAGGCGACATGAATAATCGATAAGGAAGTACGGGGTTTTACTTAACGGGAGTTAAATCACGAGCGAACCTCCGCTTCCTGCCGCATCATTTCGTACGATCTGCTTTTACCTATCTCGATCTATTCAGCTCCCTCTTCCTCCATCTGTATTCCTACCTCTTCTGAAAGTCTTTCCCTTTAGTCGTCCCCACTAGTCGCCAGCCTTCCCGTCTCGCCTTTTTGTCCCATTATCTCAACTTGCTTTTATTGCTTCACACGTTCCTCGTCACGCCGTAGATACGGCTTTCATTTAATAATCAATGAGACAATAACTCATTTTGGCTGTCCTTATCGCTTACTTTGGCGACACAAATGCGTGAAACAAAATTATGTCTACGACAGGATTATCTGTTGCACAAATTCATTATGCTGGCACAAAAAATTAAACAATTAATAAAATACTATTCGAAAGATAATTAGTATCCTTTCTAAAAGGCGTAGCCACGGTACAAATACAAAATTGATGCCAACTAATTTATGATAATTTAGAAAATAAATGACAATGAGGAAAGAGAGGTGTCTTAAGCGGTCTTGATTGAAAGGCGCTAAATACAGCAGTAAATAAAAATGGTCGACAATGTCAATTACGTACGTGTGAAATTTGCGAAATTTGTGAAACTCGTATACGCTTTTCTAGACCTAAATCCCTCAATTTATCTATAGCAAACCCCCTCTTATTATATTTTTCCACTTTCACCGTTTCTCCACTTGCTCCGGTCTGTCCTACGCAAGAACGTAGACGTACCTTTCCCTTAGAATTTTCCCCGCTTTTTGTTAAACCCAAAACGATCGTACGGCGCATTTATGGCGAACTTGACTTGCTGTTTTCAGCGCACGCACCATAAAAGGGCACGGGGGATCTAATAGGAGGGGACCGGCCGAATCGAGGCTCGGCCATTGACGGTACGCGAGATCGAAATTCGAGTGAATTCTTTGGTGCACACGCGAGTACGTCCCGCCCGAAAAAGCGTCTAAGTGGCCGCGGCAATGGCGCTGCACCATTTCGGCGGATATCCGGGATGAGAGTTTCTATGGTGCGCTCTGTCTTTCTTCTCCTCCGGCTTCATTCTCTTCGCGCTGCGTGCGAGGTAAAAACGGGGGTTTCGATTCAACGCTACGAAACGGGAGAGCGACGCGGGAGGAGAGGTGGTGGAGAAGAGAGAGAGAGAGAAAGAGAAAGAGATGGTCACCACCCGCGCGCACCGCCCCATCGCTCCCGTCCATTGTTCGCCGGAGTCCTTTTGCTCGTACGCTGCGCCGTGACATCGCGATTTCACGGAAATTCGATCGGTTTTGTCGACGGCGACGGATGGTGTCCGCCGTAAAAAGTGCGCAGCTCGTACGAGCGTTTCTTGCGCGATTAACCCCGGATTCGCGGCACCCGGGGTCACCGGCGAGCATGTCCAGCTGGTGCAAGAAACGCGACGTTTCACTTTCAGCGGGGAAAAAAATCTTTATGTACACTGGAAACGCGATGCGAGTGAAAGCTGCTAATCGAATTAAGCGACGTTAATTGTTAATCTCGTTATTCCCTTTTCGATTTCACATGCACCGCGAATGTCCGTACTAGAAACTTCGTGTCGGCGAAGTCGCTAGGGAACTCTGTTCGCGATAAAAAGTGATTTACTGGAATTGCCTTACGATATAATAAATTATCAGTGATTCCTAATATAATAATAGAGTCGTCATCTAATTATCACGTAATATCACTAATCGCCGCAGCGTGTGACTCATGGCAGCGCATTTAAATCGAGACGCCACGTCCGGTAACGCATTGTACGATATATTTCAGACTAATGTGATCCGTCTCTCGTCAGGCTACCTCGTGCAAATTCCCGTTGAGAGACGAGAAGTGTCTCAAGGAAGAGATAAAATAGTTGCGCATTTCGACAACGTCTCAAACACTTGAGGGGATGCTCGAGGTAGACTGACGGACCTGATCGCGCCCCGTTCGTATGAGGAACACGCACCTTTCTGCAGGATCTCGAGATGCTCCCACAGGATGTCGCCCATGAAGGCGGGGGCATGTGCTAGAAAGGATTCCTTCCCCATGGCACAAATCTGCTTTCCAGTCATGTGCTGCCACGGCATCGTTACACCCACCAGCGAGAATTCCTCCGTAGCCCAGTGCAACCAGTGGGCGACAGCTGTTTCCGTCCATTGCCTCGGGTCTGGAAGAAAAAAAAGATAAAGCCAAATTAAGGATTTGGTTATTCTTGACGGCTACCTCGGCTAGATAAGTCGCGCTCCCGAAGGACGACTGCGCGATTTAACTTGAGATAAAATTCAACTTATCAATGATAAGACTGTCTATCTGTCTGTGAATCCGGAAAACAGCTCACAATATTGTAGTGTAGGTAAGTTTAGTGAACTCGTTGTTTTCGACCTATCGATAGTGTGACATTTATTTCCCAAAACTAAGTCCCAAAAGCTGATATTTTCCTTTCGCTTATCTGCGCCGACCGAAAGCGAGCCGGTTCAGACGAAAGATATCGAGGCAACGTCGCCGTTTAGCGACGGCGCGCTCGGAGCGCAAGTGAAACTTAAATTTCACTTCTTAATACAAATTCCCAAAAGCTCAGGATACTTTCCTTTCGCTTATCTGCGGTCAACCGAGAGCCTCCAGACGGCCGAAAGATATCGCAGACGCCGCGCAACGTCGCCGTTTGTGACGGCGCGATCGGTGCCCAAGCCGACCATCTTTGGTGGAAGCAATACCGAGAAACATCGGAATGTCCCATTTGAGGTGCGCGCCCATATTTGCACGCGTGTCTTGCATTGTTTCGTGGTATCTCGCTGCGTAAAAGTACAGTTGGGTTCATAATGCAAACAGGAGTTGCCAACGTAGCGACTCGCTAATGTATATAGCTTTGCTCGCACAATCTCGCGGTCGTCCTTTAACACTAACGATGCGAGCAGGACGTTTCGAATCGGTGGCCTAGCCTCGTAAAGAACCCGAGGAGAGAGTACGAGGTACAAACCGTGTCCCGGAAAGGAATGCCGGGCGGGCATAAAAATCAAAATTTTATCTTTCCTTTCCTTTTCTTTTTTTTTTAGAACATCCTATATACACGTCCTTATACCATTTCTTACATCTTTATACCGCAATGAGTTAAGTGCGCAATAATATTAGAAAGTACACGTTTCTTTGTAATAGAAAAAAAAAGAGATGAAAGGAAAATGGAAATAAGCGCGTGTGCACGCGCACCGAATTATTGAGAAACGCATATTGTTTAAATACGCGTGAATTTTAAGTAAATAAAATAGTACCGCCAAAAATTTGGTCTCAAAGAAGCCGGTCAGATGCCAAGAGCAGGAAATAAAAGAGAATTTAGGAGCTGCTTGACAGGAATAATTTTGCCACGTTTGTACGACTGTCATTCTTAAGAAACGATAACGGCCGCTCTCCTTTTTCAAAAAAATAATATTTCTGACAGAAGTGACAATCCTTCCCGGATAAAATGGTCTTTGTGTGCGAGGGTGCGATGCAAATAGACGATAATAAATACAGGCTCCCCTGTGACGTCCACACGAACGCATAGGATTTATAACACGTGGCACGAATGCAAATTCTCGAAAATAGATGGGACTGCTTGATGGAGCGGGCGGGACGTTATTCGCGGAATCGATAAAGTACGAGATGAATTGACGTCTTTCGCGTAGGATAGAATATAAATATAGGAAGAAAAAGTGAGCGAGTACCAAGGTAACAAGAGTGTCTAACGGCGATGGCACGGCGCGCGCTCAAAGCGGCCGCCGATGTTTGAGGATCGTACCGATATTTGCCCAACTTATTTCTCGTAAGCGTTGTTGGCAGACTTTACACTCTCTTTCTCGCCTCGCATTCGAACACAAGTCCACGCTCGCGCGCTGCACACGTATTCTCTGTTACCGGTCGATCGCTGCATGCATAATCGGCACTCGTTATCAATATATTATCTTATATGCTTCTCCTTTTTTGCCCCCCGTCAATTAAACGTCAAAAAAACGTTAAACGATACAATCGGACACTCTAACTACCTCTAGATTTGAGGACAATCGGTAATTGAGAATAATCACAAGAGTATCTAGGTGTCAGGTTCCCGAATTTGACTCTTTCTTTATCTAACCGGATAACGAGCAAATACGTTTAAGCACATTGGATATCTGTGATTTATATTGTAGGTTGATAAGTGACGTGTTAAACGTGGTACTTTATGAATCTCTGAAGTATTAAACGAGGCACTACCGTATCTCGTGATACAATCAAGGAATCCAGAAACATATCCATCTCTGGGATCTCCAAATTATTATCTGCGGTATGAAAAATGTTGAAAGCCACGAAGATTGAAAGTATTCATCTTTATACGCCCAGGCGTCCTTACGATTGTATTTATTATTCAAAAGGGAGATAGATTCTGAATAAATCATAATAGCGAATGCGATATGACGCGTCAGAAACGTAATTGTCAATGCAAGATGCGTCTTCTTTATAGTAAGCGTACGCGTTCTCGTATATACGTATACATATGTAGGGTATATACCCTCCGACGACATAATACATATTGATAGATTTTAGACGCATAGATAGACTCTTTAGCAATCTATTGATTGCGTCTACGGGGGACGATGAAATTTCTTTCGACTCGCAATTACTTAAACCAAGTACACGCTGAGGGATCTCTCTATCGTTTCTCGCGAGAAGGAGCCAATGCCGCTGAAGTAAAGCAAATCTTTGTTAACACGTTTCTTTTCTTCTTTTTTTTTAATACACGCCGCTAATGACGCTCTGAGGTTTTTTCGGAAAATAAAAGATCGAGGGAGCGACGCGCGGCGCGGTCTCAGGCACGAAGTGAAATGGCAAGAGGAGCAGGAGGTTGTGCTCGTTCGGTTCACGGAGGTCAGACTGTAGGTGATCTGGCCTGGAGGGTACGAACCCGGGGCATGTAGACCGGAAGTAACGTCACACCCGCGTGGCTCTGAATGCGCATACCGGATGTGTGGCATCGGCTCCCCATCAGAACCATCAACATCACATTCACAATTCCTGCACATCGCCTCGTCGCACATCGCGTCACATCGCGCGCACCCGCGTCTACGCGCGTCTCCCGCACATGCACGCACGCACGCACGCACGCTCGCTCGCTCGCACGCACGCGCGCGCAAGCAAACACGATCGTACGAATGTGCGTGCGTGTGCTTTCTCCCCTTCTGTTGCGCCCGCAGCGATTTTTTAACAACTTGCGCGGTGAGGCGGTACGAGGATCATAAATTCCGGATCGTATAAACCAGCGTGAAAAATCAGAGAACGTGTGCCCTCGTAAGATAATTGCGGTTGTTGCAAAATTTGAGCGAATCAAGAGGTTCGATCTACTCGGAATCGCGACTGTAATCTTGAGACGCGGCGACCGTCACGCGTATTTCCAGTTAACGATACAGTCTCTAACTACAGATGTTACAATTTTATAATAAAGAAACTCATTTCGCAATGGATTTCGCATTCGACGCGTACGCGTCCGACGTAAAAAAGCACGCCTTATGATTACGTGACGCTAATTGTAATTACGCGATTTTACGAGGAAAAAAGTGATACGATTATTTTAATTAAGCTCATACGGACTGCGCTTAAGGGTAATCACGGACAAGTATAATCAAGAGTAATGAGAATAAAAGCTGACCTTTAGTTATATTCAGGCGGACTCGCTCCTTTTCCCAAGATGCGAAGGAGGCCTCCAGAGCCTCGGTCATCTTCTTGTTGGTCCCAGGTGTTAACGGCGGCACTTGCGCCGGTATATCTGAAAAAAAACACTCAATTGTAAATATATGTACTCGCAATTGTATTCATATCGCACTCCTTAATCTCCTTATCTATCAACTCTCCTTAATCTATAAACAATCTTATATAAATATAGGCTCTCATGACACGTAGATATGAGGCAGATAGACTAGTCGATTATGATATGTGATTAATCTCTTTCCACTTTCCAGGATACTTAACGCATAGACTTAGGGAAATAAACGAAGATATTGACCTCGCTTATACAATGCAACAGTGAACAATCGTACGACATTCTTTCGTTTAGTTTTAATGTCTCGCAAAAAAATATCGTGAGATGTTCGAACGTGCAAGACGAAATGTTTGAATTTCTTAAAAACGACGTACAGATTTGCCCTCTAAAAGTCTATTAGTGGATTATCACTGAAGACAGGAAGATCACTGATTTGCAGTTATACGTATATACAGGGTGATTCAAAATAGGTATAGTGTCCCTGAAATGTCGTATTCCTGATTAAATTCTAAGACGATTTTTCTCTTACCAAAATGTTCTCCGAAGCTTAGTTTTTGAATTATTCAAAGAAATAGTCAGCGAATAACTGGCCGAGTACAAGAGGCAGAC